AGCGTGAGCATTATGTTTGTCAATTTAGTCGAAATAGGCTGATAGGTAAATTTGGGTCAAGAGTTGAAAAATCGTAACAAGTGCTTCTTTCAGGGCAGAGCAAAACTGGTGTTTGTGTAAGGGAAACATGAATGTCCAAGATGGACAGATCAAGGAGATTGGATGGTTGTGTGTACAAATGAAATAAAGGGACTGAGGTTGATTAGTTCAAGCCGTAGTATACTATCACAACGTGGGAAGAAATTATAATCCGATTGAAAAACAACGATTCTTAGTAATACTAGAGATCTTCTAGAGATGTAGAAAGATGCAAGACTCTATATATGGAAGATATTCACTAACCTGAAAACTTTTTGTTTTGGCCATCAAGCAATCTCTTGGAATTCATGAAGCTACTTGATGCAGCAGCAAAACCTTGAACAGGCTCTCCACTACTACATTTCTGCAGCTCATAAAAATGTTTATTTAGTCACTATATACTATCATTCTTCACAACAAGTTCATCAGGAGATCACCATGATTCCCCATAAGGTCTGACCTTAAGTAGATGATATCGTTCCACCCATTTTGATTTCGACAAATCCCTCAACACAAGTCGACTCAAAGTCTTGCAGTCTTCTCGTCTTGCACTTCGAAAGGAGAAATCAAAGACTCCTTCAGTGAGCAGCTGCTTGAAAGAATTCAAATTCTCCTTGAACTGAGGGCTGTCAAACATGCTATTCAAGCTGCATTAAAGAATATAAACAGTAAGCTTTGGACAAATCCGTCTTCTGACTCATCTCATTAATACAAAGATGCTGTAAAAGTAAGCATAAAGATTAACCTGTCTGGTAGCTCTTCAGTATCAACAGAAGGCAGATACTTCATTAATGCTTGCTGATCTTCACTCGTCAAATGCTGCGTAAACTCTCTGAAGTTTAGGATGTCCTATATCAAAATGGGCCAGATTATAACATGAGTAAAAGAAACAAAGAGTGGAGATGGTTCGTATTTCAACAATGCATGTTCCAAATATTAAGGCTCCTTATGAATGCATATATTCCATCAAGGTCGAGGGATTGTTAAGAAGATCATTTTGACCACAACTAAGAACGCCTTTCCAATTTCAGATTATATATATATATACTAGGTATCTAGTCTGCCTTTTGAGCTAATGTCAAGCTAGAACCATAAGAATGCAACTTACAGTTAGATCTATATTACACAGAGGAGAATTATGATTTCCAAGTGCTTGCATTTTTTCTGAATGAGGCTTGTCCCTGAGATTACAAGCAGGAAAAATATTAGTTCTGTGCTTGAAGGTAAAATACTTGGAAGTTCTCCTCTAACTCTAATAGTGGAGTTGTAGAATTGTTTTTAACCATTACTGAAAGTTTTAACTATAAGCTAATATCGTCAGCATAGCTAAACTGATAAAGACATATATCCTCAACCAAAAGGTCGGAGGTTCAAATCCCTGCCCTTACATATTGTTGAACTAAAAAGAAAAAAAGAAAAACAACTATAAGTCAATATCCCAGTGTTTAAGTCATATAATGAGTAAAGTAGGATTAACAGTGATTGCATTTGTTGCCACTACCATGCTGATGCAATCAAGCATCAAGGAATCTAGAAACTCTAAGAATCCTCAAAATAACTTTTATTGTTCCCCTCTATCTATAGAGAATTTAGGCCTGCTAATCCGATTAAACTAACACAATTGACCGACTCAAACAAAATTACAAAATAACCCCTAATTATACACATAATATGCTACATCACATGCAGACCATGGTGGAGAAAAACAAGTAATTTTTTTCCTCCTACAAAATCACACAGCAAGACAAACCTTCATTTTTTGGAATATACATACATACATATGTATATATGTATGCACAAATCAAAAACTCCTACTAACTTACCCTGAGCCAACTAGAGTTTAAAGTTCCAAGCTATACAGTCAAAATGAACTTATTTTCCAAGTGATAAACCAGCCAATGCTGAATTAAAGTATTTGAATTCAGTTCAGTACAAAGCTTACCTTTTAATTTGCTCCTGGATGAACCCCTGTCCATTAGGGTGTTTTCTCCCAATTCCAAGAGTAGACAAATTGATCATCTTGTTCTCAGTTTCACCACGTACAGGAAGGATGGACGATTCTGAATAAGCCTCATTTACAGAGAACTGTTTATTATCAACTGAAAGTGAGCTTGCTTCTGACTCCTCCTCTCGAGCAATTGAACTTGGATGCCTCATGAGAACACTTCCATGTCCTATCTCTACAGAGACCATCGGAATTTCGCTCTCAAAAAGCAAATCCTCCTCTGAAGATCCAGAGAAGTATGACTGCTGTTCATGTAAAATGGAGTGTAGATCTTTAGTGAGTTTCTCAACTGCGGAAGGATTTGAACGACTGACACAGGTCCTCTTCTTTTTAGAAGGCACTGTTGTCTCCCATGCCGTCGATTGTGAGGGGCCTGGCCAAAAATTAGAAATAGGCAGATATAAACAAAATGAACAGATTAAATTTCTGCAATGAGAAGCTTTTATGCTGGAAAAAGAAGTTATTGCACAAAGAAAGAATCAGAAATGAAATACCAATAAGTGTCAGATACAAAACTAATTTATACGGAGCTTTCGTTGACAATACTGAATAAAATTCAACTGTCGTATGAGATGCCCCACACATACAACATTTTTAACATCATTTGTTGATGTAGTCACAATATTCATAAGATACGCACATATGAGGTGAAAAAACCAGACAAGCAAACACTGTTGTTTGTGTCAGTGTCATATATGTCCAATTGGGAAATGCCTGAACTTTTAAGGACCATTGAGTACATGAGTGTACCATTTTAATCTTTCTTGCTGTTCTATCCTAATTTCCACCAACTCACAAACGAGTTTTGTATAAACGGTAATTAAAACGTTTATCATCTCATATTCCAATTCAAAGCTTCCATCAAAAGCATTGATTTGTTTGTGATTCGATCAATGCAAGTATTTTTAAGTTTTGATGATATTGATCACATGTCAACTGTATAATTGACCAACCTGTCAAATCACTTGCATCCGCACTGCCGAATTGTGCACAGCTCTCTGAGTTTGATATGGCTGATCCAGAACTTGATCTATTACTTGTATCTTCCTCCACTGCCTTGTGGAAGCTCTGATCATGATCAGGGATAACCCCCACCACAACTCCACTGTCTGGATGCTGCTTTCTTTTAAGCGGTTTCACTTCTTTGATCTTAAACATTGACAAGTTCTTCAACCTAGATATCCTTTTATCATCATACTCGTCAGGATCTGCCCGAGCATGAAGAGGGGTATAGTTTGCTAGAGTTCCCTTTGTCCTCCAGCGAGATCCACATGCATTGCACAATACTGGCTTGTCGGGAGGCCCATTGCGCCAAAGGGGTGTGCCTGTTTCAATTCTCGGTCTTCAGGATATATTACTAAAGAAACTACAATTTCAGGTGTGGAACAAATATATGGAATTAATGGATAAGCAATGTATGTGCATGGCATGAAAGGCAATGTAACTTAGAAAGAAAATATGCACTGAAAATGCATTTGCATTTCATTCAGAAAAAATTACATCCAAATAGGAACATACTTTGAGGACTTGTGTTACAGTTACGCCAGTTAGTCACTAGTAAGCCTTCTATGTCAGGCAAGAGCAACCTAAGAGCAGCTCTAAAACAAGGAAATTTCTTGGGGCCTCTACAATGACATAATTCACACCTATAAAATATCTGACAGCTCAAAGGAGTTACTGAAACAAACCTCAATGCATGCTTTGGCTAGGTTGGAGTACCAAAATAAAGGATGAAGAATCCAAAAGTCAATGACTTAAGATGAAGCAACTCTCAACTGAAAACTCTAGTGGGGATAGACAGAGTCAGAACTCTTCATTCGCATTCCTTTTGCCAAACTTGCTTGTTTTCAAGCCAATGAAAACTTCCTCTTGTATGTATTTCAATAGTCAAGAACAACATGATGGAAGAAGCAACTTTTTCAATCTGTCCTCTGTCTCCTTGACCATTTCACTCTCTAACCTCAAAAAGTTAAGCAGGCCCAAAAAAAAACTAGCAAGTATAAATCGGAACAAGCTCTTGCAGCTACTACACTTTGATTAAAGAAAATACAGTTTATGCGCACTCAAACTTCTGCAAGAACAATCATCCTCAGCTCTCGAAGGCCAAATTCATCTTTCTATACAAGAAACCTTGATTATTTCAGGTATCTGAAAACTTGAAGAACCCTTGCTTGCTGCTATCAGCAATATAATGACCTCGACACTTTGAGGATGTGCAAATGAACTATACGTTTTATCTCATATGCAGCAATCCAGGAAAGTATGGGTGAGTTAACAGCTTGGGAGCCAATCAGAGATACAAAAGCATAGGAGCCAATTCATATTTTGAAGTGAATGCTCAAAGAGGCTAAAGCTAAGCTAACTAAGCTTTTATCTGTGCTTTCAAATTGAAACTTTATTTAATTATGTCATTGCAGCACTGACAGATAATGCCATGGGAGGTGCCGAGCAGAAACAGCTGAGATACATGGAGAAATAATTCAGAACCAAGGCATTCCAGCATTATAAGGGGATACAATGTGGCCTTCACTAAAAGATAGTTTTCTTAGATGTCGTTGAGAAATTAGTACAAATTTAACATAATGTCAAACTTCATATTTGGGTTCATTAGCACCTCAGCGGAAATGGGAAAATGATGGGGATGAAATTTAGACTCAATACGCAAATCATTTAAATTTCGAAGAACTTGCAGCTATGACAAATGTTAGAACATCAAAAGGTGTATCAAGGGAAGGGAAAAGAAAAAAACAACAATCAAATACGTTATGAACTGTTTGAAGAGGGGAAAATCGTCAAATCTGACCGAGTAGCTCAGAATTTGAACTGATTGGACATTAAAATCAGAAGCAATTATATTGAATATATTCTCATATGTATAGAAAATTAGAAGCTAAGCACAATTTTGAATTTCCATTACTCTTTTTAAGAGATTTCTTTTGCTCATTTTCATGGTTATGTTCTTTCCGTAACTGAATTACACATATGCGGCAAGTAAAAGCAATTTCCAAAGCGGTGTATTGATGATAATAATATTATTATTAGAATCCAGTTTCAATCCTTGGAAATAGAGCACAGGGCAAAAAGGAAAACCAAAACTGGAGAAACAAGAACTCACTTGTAACTCCACAGTGATAGCAAGGCCCTTGCTTGCCCATGTCCTTCTCTTTCCTTTTCAAAAATTCCTCCTCAAGTAGATAAAGAAATTACAGAAGAAAAATTGGGCAAAAACTAATTTATTCACAAAAATTGATACAAAAATGGAAAATATGATTGGTTTTTTCTCTTCAAGCTTTATATGGGCGCAAGCTACTGGGGGGCACACAAAACCCTTTTCTGCAAAAAACCCACCAAAGGAAGATTGCAGAAACAACCAATAGCTCAAAGACCCAGAAGAGTTTTGCCTCAAAAAAGGGGAAAAAAAGGAGAAACCAGCAGAAGAAGAAGAAGAAGAAGAAGAAGAAGAGGAAAAATCTGAGAGAGAGAAGGAAAAAAAAGCCCAAAATCAATCAGAAGTGAAGAGATTAAAGATGGGTTATTAATTGGGAATCTGTACAATCCAGTGGAAGAGAAAAGACCACTGCAAGAATCTCACAAATGGGTGTGGAAAAAAGGAAAGGAAGGAAGGTGAAATGGTGGGAGAGGTGTGGGTGTCTGTGTGTGACCTCTTCCTTGTTGTATTGTATATGAAGTAAATGTTCAACTTTCCTTTGCTTTATTTAATTTTTTGGTGGGTTATTGAAAACATCTTTTCTTTTTTCTTTTTTCCTCTTTTTTTTTTTTCTCAATTTGTTTTTCCACCTAAATTTACTTTATGTCAAATTATAGTTTTGGTCATTTAGTTCCTAAATTTTAGAAATGTTTAGTGGATCCCACCTCGTTGCTCTATCTAATAGGTTTGTTAATTTTACAGACCTCAGAGTTGGATGATTGAATTTGTAATTTTACAAGCTTGAAATTTACTTACGTCAGATGTTTAGTGGGTCTCAGAACTCTCAAAGTTCGATACTGTATCTAACAAGTTAACAAACCTTAAAATTGGAGGAACGAATTTGTAATTTTACAAAGCTGAAATTTAGTTTATGTCAAATTACAATTTTAGTCTTTCTTTTAAAAATATTTAGTGCCTCTGTCAATTTTCACCATTCGAGATTGCATCTAACAGGTTTATGAATTTTACAAATCTAAAAGTTAGATGGCTGAATTTGTAATTTTTCAAAGCTGAATATTATTTTATGTCAAATTACAATTTTAGTCTTTTCCTTCCTGAATTTAAAAAATGATTAGTGGGACCAACAACTTTGACCGTTCAAGATTGTATCTAACAGATCTTTGAATTTTACCAATGTGAAAGTTTGAATGATTGAATTTGTAATTTTTTTACCAATAGAATATTTACTTTAGGTTAATTTACAATTTTAGTCTTTTTCATTCTTGAATTTTAAAAGTGTTTAGTAGATTCTACAACTCTCAAACTTTGAAATTGTATCTAACAGGTCTGAATTTTACAAACTGAAAGCTGAAGGACTGAAATTGCAATTTTACAAACCTAAAATTCACTTCATGTTCAATTACACTGTCTTTTTTTCCCCCTTAAATTACGTAGTAATCCATGGCTCTTGAAGTTGCATCTAATAGGCAATTTAATTCCACTAACCTGAAAGTTATGGGAATAATTTGTAATTTTACAACCCTGAAATTTACTTTATGTCAAATTATAATTTTATTATTTTTTTCTTGAATTTTAAAAGTGTTTGGTAGGCTCTAAGATTATCAAAGTTCGAGATTATATCTAATAAGTCTATGAAACTGAAAAGTTGAATGATTGAATTGGTAATTTTACAAACCTGAAATTTACTTTATGTAAAATTTTAATTTTAATGTTTCAATTCCTTAATTTGAAAAGTATTTAATAGATCCTACAACTCTCAAAATTTTATGTAATAGATCTACAATTTGTACGATGAAAATTTGAGGACTGAATTTGTAATCTAACCTTTATTTTCTAAAACAAATACATAATATCCCTATCAAGCAAGAAAAGAAAAAAAAGAATTCAATTTTTTAAAGCTTATAATGGCAAGTGAGGTGGAGGGGAATATTATTATTATCAATTATTATTCTTGCGTATGTACTTGTTGACTATAGATTTCTCTACTCCACGTCTTTTTCTTCTATTTTCCAAATACACCTCAAAAATTATTTTACCCAATTAAGAAATTAAAAAAAATATCTCTTTGAAGTTTGAATTTTTTAATAATTTGAAAATTATAAATAGAGAAAATTGTATAGATTATAAAGATTTGGGATATAGATACTAGTTAAGTTACAAGTTATTGTAAGTTTTATGATGTATTTTATTAATTATTTGCTTTCAACAATTATATTTGCTTATTTACAAATTTTTAATATATTTTTCATATTTTTTTAAAAATAAATTTGAATTTTTCCCAAATTTCAAAACCGTTTAGAAATTACTTCATTTTAGTTTTATGAGTTTTATTTAGATTTTAGAAACCTTTTTAAAAAGTAGATAACAAAACATATAAATGTATAGGTGTAAGTAGTATTTATAAGCTTAATTTTATGAACAAAATAATTATCAAATTGGACTTAAAATTTTGAAACTATAAGTTGATTTGATGTATTTTATCCATATAGGTTCTTCAACTTTAATTAATTTCAATTATATCAATAATAAGATTTTTTATTTAGTATCTGATAAATTTAGGTCGTATCTATTAATTAGAGATATGTGACACAATATGACAATTAAAAGGTATAAGATGGACTAATCTCGAGTGGGCATATAGGTCAAATTGGAAATTTAGTTCTCTAAGCTCTAAACGTGTCTCATTAGTCTACCCTTGTCGAAATTAATCCCATATGACACTTTTTAAGCGGTTACATTGCACGATATAATATCTAATTAATACAATATTCAATGTATCACCTAAAACTAACCATTAAAGAGGTATATTAGATGCAATATTAGAAATTTATGGATGTAATTAAAATTTTTCAAAATGCATGTACCATGAAAGTTTAGAAGGACTATTGTTGTAATTTAGTTTATTATTAAATTAAAAAAAAAAACATGTCATATCTCAAAAAAAAAAAAAAAATCAAACTTATTTGCTGCATAGTTACAAAATTTTAATTATTTTAATAAAAATGTCCACAAATTAATTTTAAAATGTGTGAAATGGAGTTGGTTAAAAGAACCTGTGAATCTTATTTGTTCCCCAACTTCAAATACAATAATTCAACGGAAAAATTAAATGTGTGGAATTAAAATTATTTTTTCCAAAAAATAAATAATTAAAAAAAAGAAACGAAATATTTAGAAAAATAAGGTGAAAAAAGATGTGCAAAACCTTTGTATAAAAATGGGATTTAAAATTTTAAAGAATATTATAAGTTTTATTTTGGATTTAAATATGCTTCTGTCCCTGTATTTTCGACTTTGATTCATTTTGATCCACATGCTTTTAAAACGTTTATTTTGGTGAGTAAAGTGTCTCGTTGAGCTAATCTCATGTCGGCATTCATTTTGGTTACTGTACTTTTAGTTTTTGTTCATTTTAGTCTATGTACTTTCAAAACGTTTGTTTTTTATCCCGTACTTTAAAAATTTTACTATTTTAATCTATTCATTTTCCTTTGTATCTCATTTATTTCGATTAAAATTTTAATATATCACTGAACTCACTAAATTTTTCGAAATGTATAATAAATTTTGTAAATATAGATTAAAACAACTACTTGTTTTGAAAATACATGAATTAAAATAAATAATTTGTTCAACATAGGAATTAAAATGAACTAAATATACCTATAAAAGAAAAAAAAAAGACAAAAATAGAGAAAAAGAGAGAGAAGAAAGAAAAAAAGTGATTGGCTTCTTCCTTCTAACTTCTTTCCCACTTTTAATTTTCACTTTCATTGCTTTGTCATACTTATGTTTTATTTTTCCCTTTTCTATGATAAGATTAATTGTTTTTTTTTATTATTTTAATTTTGATGAATAAAAAAGGGGTGGGATCAAATTAGCGTCACCTGGCGTTTACCTGTTCAAGTTACAGCCTCATTTATCACCGTTGATTGAGTAAGATTCATCAAAAAACTTCGCATTTAACTACTCGTTGATTTTTAAATCACAAATTGTTTTAAAGTTATTTTGTACTTCATAAATTTTAATAAATGAAATCTTCAAATTATTTTTTTTAATCAACAACTCCAAATTTTATATTATCTAACCATTTGTTTATCGTCACTTTCGCATGAAATTACAAATTACCCATTATCTTATCTCTCGTATTCTCTCCCTTTTCTTCTTCCTCTCAGCTCTTTCATTCTCTCTCTTATTCATTCTTCCATTTCTATACAAATCCTTTTTCCCTCTTTGTGATTTGATTGTTTTTTACTATCAAATTTTTCTAAGTACTTCAAGTACGTGCACTCTTCTCTCTCCTTTTTCTTTCTTCCATTTTTTTCTTTACCACATCTCATTGGATTTTTTTGTTTTGATTTTAACTCCATTGTTGGAGCTTAAAATTCAAAAACAAAATAACAAATACATGCACAAAAGAATGAGTCAGACCTAAAAGAGAGGTAAAAACTCAACAAAGAACACCAAGAACAAAGAGTTCACATAAACCCCCCACATAAAAAAAAAATAGAACACACAAAAAAGGCTCTCGCTCTCGCTCCTCTCGCTCCCGCTCTCGCCCCTCTCGCTCCCGCTCTCGACGTATGTCTCTCATCGAAAAAAAATCGTAAATAGAGCAGCTTGTTGCTTGTTTTTTCAGAGAAGGTGAAGAAAAAAAATAGGAATGGAAAGAGGCGGCTTAAGAGTGATGAGGAGGAAGATAATAATAAATATTTAGGGTTTTTTTAGAGTGTGTAAATAAGAGAGAGAAAGTTGGTTGAATTTTCAAGAGAATTTGTAGAGAGAGGAAAGAGGAGAGAGAAATGGATGAGAAAGTAATAAATTGAAGAAAAAATAAAGAGGGTAAATACGTATTTTCATATAAAATTGATGTCAGTAAATGTTTACAAAACATAAATGAGCAGAGGGGTATATTTCATAATTTGAAAAATGCTATTTAGCCCGATATCCCTTGTCAAAATGTCAATTACGTTTTTAACTATTTGGATTTTTTTTTCTTTTGAGCCAAATAATTATTTGGATTACATTTTTCAAAAATGTCAAATTAAATTGTCAATTAAATTTCTGTTTCTACTTGGTACCTAAACTTCTAAATATTCTATTTTAGTTCATAAACTTTATATCTAAAAGATTATTTAGTCTTTGTCATTTATCTTATTTAATAAAATATTTAAAACCTAATATGCATACATTTATTTATTCGTTTATCCATCAATAAATATTTATGGACAAATTTTTGAAGTCACCGTGTTTAGACATCTTTTTAAAATGAATTTAGTTTTTTATTAAATGCTTGCTGAAAATTAACAATCACAGTTAAAATAGATATTTAAAGGTTTAATGACAAAAATAGACTAGCAATAAAGTTCATATACCCAAATAAATTTCAAATTTATATTTTCTTGAAATGTTTCATTTTAAAGTATAAATTAATTATAGATAAATTTCTCTGTAAAAAAATTATAGATAAATTTCAGTCTAAAATATGTTTTTTCT